GGTGGTGCACGCCTTTAATCCCAGCACTTGGGAGGCAGAGGCAGGCGGATTTCTGAGTTCGAGGCCAGCCTGGTCTACAGAGTGAGTTCCAGGACAGCCAGGGCTATACAGAGAAACTCTGTCTCGAAAAACCCCAAAAAAAAAATGTTTTAAAGCTAGAAATTCAAAGTTTTAGGTGCCTTTCTAATCTCTCATAGCACCCTGCTCAGTATCACTCGTGCTGTGGTAGTCACTCAAGTCTCTGTGGAGACGATTAGTGTAATATAATGTTCAGATTGTCTTTAGTTAAGCAAAACATATTCACAAACTACATCAGAAATCTCCCTCATATGACCAACACAGATTCAGTGGAGCTGGACATGGTGGTTCACATTTTAAACCCAACACTTTCATGTGAGGAGGCAGAGGCTAGAGGATCTCTGTGTGTTCCAGGCCAGTCAGAGCTACAGAGTGAAGCAACGAGTAACCCAGCACTGGGGTTAGTTCTTAGTACCTAGAGTATGTACACCGGTGTCCTTAGACCGAAAAGCCTGATTAGTCTAAAACAAATGTTTTATGCTCAGATGTGCTTCATTTTTCTTATAATGAAGAATACTAATAAGTGTTTGCATTTTTTCTCTGGCCTTGGTTTTCTGAGGGAGATGAAATTACATATACTCTCAGTCCCATCAAATGCTCTGACCACTCTGCATTTGAAAGAGTCAATATTATACTCCTCAATATTAGACTACTTCCCCAACACGCCATTCCCTCAGGACCCCATGCTGCTTTCTCTGAGGAAAGAGTACACATACACAAAGTTCATGAATCCCTGTAAGCCCAGAATTTATAGAGGCAAAACACAAACTCAAGGTCAGCCTGGGCTATATGGTAAAACCTTGCCTCAAAAAATAATTTGGGGGGCAAAGGCAACAGATAGCTAGCTTAGTGGCAGTGTTTGCTCAATATGTTTTAAGGCCCTGGGTTCAAGTCTTAGCAGCATCAAACAAAAACAAACAATACTACTCACAATACTACTCACTTTACACAAGTGTTTAATCTGGCTTTAAATCTCACCCACATTGGGGCTTCTAGGTGATCCCAATAATTGTAAGACTCCATATGCCTTGGGCTGGGGGTGTGACTCAGTGAAGAGTGCTTGCTTAACATGTGTTATGAGGCCCTTGGGTTCCATCCCCTGCACATGCATGCATGCACACATGCACACCATATTCCTTGAAGAACAAAGTACAACACAAAAATCAATCAAAATAGCCAACTGTGAAAAATGTAAAAGACCTTCTTGCTACTTACCCCTAAAAGTAAATTCTGGTTTCCTAGAGTAACAACTAAAGATGCCTATTTTGTTTGCTTTGTCGATACAAATTCTCAACCCTCCCAAGCCAGCATACAGGGCAAGTTATTAGCTCTAATTTAAAATCAGAAACACAAAAAGTTCCTATTATTAGGCCATCCTGGTGGCACATACCTATAATCCTAGAAACTGAAAGGGTCAGGCAAGGAAAATCAGGAGTTTAAAAATCATCCTCTGCTTTGCCAAGTTTAAGGTCTATATGAGACCTTATCAAATAAACAAAAAGTCACAAATTCAGAATGACAACAAGTACAAACTCACTTATACATAGAAAACCTTTAATTCACCAGCTAGAAGAGTTTATCTGCCACAATACAAATATATCCTACAAGATACATAAAATTTTACACACACACCTCCCAAAGTTCAAAGCACTCAAATCGCCAGAGAAAGGCAATGTATATGCATTTCTGACTTGGTTTTAGTTTGTTTTGGGTTGTTTTTTTTTTTTTGGAGGTAGGCTTTTTGTTTTGTTTTGGAGATAAGCTTTCTCTGTATAGTCCTGGCTATCCTGGAACTCTGTAGACAAGGCTGGCCTCGAGAAAAAAAAAAAAAGTTTGGTGTAGTTTTGTTTTGTTTTGGTTTTTGAGACAGGGTTTCTCTGTGTAGTCCTGACCGTCCTAGAACTCACTCTGTAGACCAGGCTGGCCTGGAACTCAGAAATCCACCTGCCTCTGCCTCCCAAGCGCTGGGATTAAAGGCGTGGACCACCACTGCTCAGCTTGGTGTAGTTTTTTAAAGCTCTTAGAACATCTTTATAGGGGCTGGAGAGATGGCTCAGTGGTTAAGAGCACTAACTGGTCTTCCAGAGGTCCTGAGTTCAAATCCCAGCAACCACATGGTGGCTCACAACCATCTGTAATGAGATTTGATGCCCCCTTCTGGTGTGTCTGAAGACAGCTACAGTGTACTCATAAATAAAATAAATAAATCTTAAAAAAAAAAAAGAACATCATTATAAAGATTCTTCTCAGCAAACCAGAGCTACTAGATCCAGATGAAGTGTGTCATGAGAATGAGCCAAAATAGCTGGATGTGTAGCACTGTGAGGGGCAGTGAGGGATTCAAGGCCCTGGTGTTCTGTCCACACCCAAGGGAGTGGAGAGTCAGGACGGCAAGAAACAGAAACAGGAAAGGAAGCGATGCCTGCACTAGTAATCACTAGGAGTGAGTTTAACAGTTTAACCATTTTTATTATTTATTTATACACGTGTGAATGCCACACATGTGCAAGTACTCAAAGAGGTTTGAAGAGGGCTTTGAAGGCGCTGATGCTGTAACCACAGGAGTTTGTGAGCTGCCTGAAGAGAGAGCTGTGATCTAGGCTCAGAAGAACACCAGGTACTCTAACTACTGAGCCATCTTCCAGACCCCATGAAGTTAACTTCTAAACACTCTGTATTTTTACATCATCATCATTTTTGCTTGGTTGGTTTGGAATTGAGGGAGTTGTTTTTTGAGATAGGTTCTTACTATGTAGTCCTAGCTGGCCTGAAACTCTATGTAGGGCAGGCTGGTCTTGAACTCACAGAGATCCACCTGTCAACGCACATGCTATCACACCCACCTGGTTTGGTTTTGTTTTTTTTATTCCTTGAGAGAGGGCCCCACCATATAGCCCATGCTTGCCTCAAATGTGCTAATTGTAGCACAGGTTGGCCCTAATTCCAATTCCCTGGAGCTGGAGTTACACGTAGTTGTGAGGATCCTGACATGGGTTTTAGGAACTGAAGTGGAGTCCTCTGTAAGAACAGTACAAGTTCTTAACCACTGAGACTTTGTTCAAGTCCCCAAATGTAGGTGTTGATAACAAAAGCTGAAATCTGTTTCCAGAGTGAGAGCAGGAATGTTGAGATGGCAGTTACTCTTAATGCTTGCTTTAACTATAATTTACCTCTCCTGAGTGTGTCAGGACTCTAATGGCCATTACAGCTATTACGAATTGTAACGTGCGCTGCAGCCCTCCCTTTTTAAAGAAGTGTAAAGAAAAGTTTCCCGCGTATCCAAGGTCACCAGTGTCAACAAGAGATGGGAGCAGCACTAAAACTTCAGTTCCTACCCTTCAAACCACTGGATACTTTCCCAATCCCAAGAGAGAGGAGAGTCAACCAGCTATTTATTTTCAAACACTTCAGTCGTACACTGAGAAGTATAAAGACAAGTCAGAAGATTCACCTTGGGCCAAAGAAACAAGCTACGGTTGCATACCTTTATCCTTTTCCCTGTTCTCCTAGCCATACAGTCCAACATCAAACAGCAGCTGACTTTGGATATAGTCATCCCTGGCAACACGTCCTCTTCAATATGGACAACTTACTTTCCCACTAACTGAACATTTTTAAGTGAATCTTCCATCACCTTGCCACATTTCATCGGAGGTGCTATGGAGTGCACGCATTTCCTCACTCTCTCAATGGTCAAAAGTTAAAATAAGCAATTCTTGGAACACAGTTACTTTGCCAATGACAAAAAAAAAAAAAGTAAGCGCCAATAAATTGCTGCTTTTAACGAGACATTTTAAAACACGATGGCATGCGTCACAGAATTATTGGTAAGTTCTTGGCTGGTTACTTTAAAGTAGCATTTCAGGCCTATCCCTCCCTGTTTGGGACATAGCCTGACTCGTTCGACAAGATAAATCTTAGGCACGCTCACACAGGACACCTCTGAAGCAACTTAGCTTACTGAAAACATTATCCCAACCTCCCTAGTCTGAGTACTCAGCCCTCTTATACTTCAAGGGACAGAATGACTCTCTTCAAAAATCTTCCGGGAGAAGGTTCCCTCCGCGGAGACAATGACAGCCGTCCTCCCCGGAAGGTTTTTTGGAAACAGTGCTGACACCAGGAGAAGTGTCAGTGCGGCAGCAGGTGGAGTAGCCCTGCGTGCCGAGCAGGTCCTTTCTGACCTAGTCTCCAAGTCCTCCGCCTCCCTGTCCCGGTTCCGCCTTACGGACCTTTCCAAGCCGCCTCGCGTCCCGGTTCTCTCACCCAGGGCAGGACTCTCGAGCCTCCCGGGAAGCGAGGCCACCTAAGACGGCCGCCGCACCTCTTCCGGGGACTCGCAGGCCCGCTCCCTGGCAGTATCGGAACCTGACGGACCCCGCCGTGGGAGGCAACCGGCTACTCCCGGGGCAATCTCCGCGACCTGGTTCCAGAGCCCCCTCCCCTTCGAGGCAGCGCTGCCGCCAGCGCCTCACTCCCGAACCCCCTCTCCTCCGGAGTACCTCAGCGGAGTTACCGGCCCACTCAAAAGTACAAGTGCCGGCTGCCCCCACCGGTCACCCCGGCCTCGCTGTCACCGCCCAGCTCCCGGCCTCGGCCCGCGGCGCCGGCGTGCCCCCGGTGACGCCCGGGTCGGTACCTTGCGGACCCCCTTGTAGATATAGAAGTAGAGCTCCCGGCCCACATTGAAGCAGAGGCGGTCGCCGTTGCCAGACTGGTCGTTGAGGTTTACGAAGGAGACGCGGACAGGGTTGGATCCCTGCGAGTTGAAGGGCACCCGGTTGGGCCGGCTGTACTCCGAGTGCGGCAGCAGCTTGTACAGACCTTCCCGGGTGGTGAATTGGGTCTTAATCTCGTTCATCTCCTTCCCTCCTCCCTCCGTCGCCATCTTGGAAAGCAGCGTTCATCCTGCCCTAAGTGCCCGGATCACGCCCACCGCGCAGGCGCCGTCCTCGGCCGCTCGCTCTCCACTCCCCACCCCCTTCTCCGCGGCCCCGCCCATTGGCGAGCCAGCCCCCAAGAAGGCGGGCCGAAGCGAAGGGGGCGGGCTGGTTTACGGTGCAACTGCGCACGCGCGCTCACCTGGCGCGCTCCACCCGGAGGGGCGTGCGCAAACTCCTCCCCTGGGTGCCGCCCTCCCCGTGCGGGTCGGAGTGAGCGCACCGATCCTTGGTGCTGGCTTCCCATCTACGCTGAGGTGACCCTCGCTCTGGAGCTTCGCTGAGGGACCCCATCCCTAAGGGAGGACGCCGCCTTGACCTCGGCCGGCTGCTGGTCCCGGCGGAGCCTGAGGCGAGCAGTGGAATCCGATGTTTGGACGTGTGCGTCCCAGCTGTACGGGATCCTCCCTCGGAGGCTGGGGAGGACTCAGACGGTCCGGTTGGGTGCCGGGTGCCAAGCCCCTCTACGCCTCCCAGAAGCAGTGTCACAGAAGATATCGAAGGATTGGACTTTATTACAGCTCAGGGTTTTGTTTGGTTTTGTTTGGTTTTGAAGTGGGGTGGGAAGAACCGCATAAATGGACAGGACGTGTTTTCAAGTCTCTTCTGAAACCTTACTGGTGAGCATCGGCTTGTTCTTGAGAAAGTAGGTTGTGTTGGAACTTAGGTCTCCTGTGCCGCTTAATAAAGGTAAAGCTAATTGATTTTTTTTTTAAAAGCCTCAAACGAAACCTGAAGTCGTTTGCTAGGAGAACCGTAGAGTTAGTTGTAATGACTATTCTGTATAAAGTCTAAATGTTAAGTAAGGACAAGCATACACATTAAAGTGGGACTTAACAGTCACCATTTGATGCATCGATTTCTGGGTATATGCACTGGAATTCCTTCGTAGGAAGGTATTCGGGGAAGCCCTCGTCGGCTTCTAAAGTAATAAACGTTATAATAGAATTCTAGAATGGGGAAAATGTTACGCGAAGAATGAACTATCTCTGAGAAGTCATGTCTGTAGAGCAGGAGCGAGCCCAGTACAGTGGTGTGCATCTGTGCTTCCAGACAGATAGAATGCCTGTGTCCGGAGATGGGAGGCTGCTACCCGAGCCCACAGAGCAAGACTCCAACCTCACAAAAATTAATTGTACACAGGGGGGAAGTGTTCTAAAGACGTGTATATAAATCATAACCATTTTATGTAGTGGGAAGCAAGTACATAAACAGTAGAAACTGCCCATGATGTAATAATGCATTTGACACATACATGCTTTAAAAAACAAAAGAAAGCCGGGCAGTGGTGGCGCACGCCCTTAATCTCAGCACTTGGGGAGGCAGAGACAGGCGGATTTCTGAGTTCGAGGCCAGCCTGGTCTACAGAGTGAGTTCCAGGACACCCAGGACTATACAGAGAAACCCTGTCTCGAAAAACCAAAAAAAAAAAAAG